TATTTCTGACTTGTTACTTTGTTGTTTATTTCTTAGAATCAAAAATAATTAATTATTTAATATTATTAATAAATTAAACTTTAATAGTAGTTTATTACATTTACATATTTGACTTAGTATTTTCTCATTAGATGGAGATATTGTAAACATTTGTACAGCATGTATTTAAACATATATATTGAAACGAAATTACGTAAAGCGAGCTTATGTTCTAAAGCTATGATAAGTAAAAAATTATTTACTTCATATACCAAAAGAAAACATTAGATTACAGTTAATCGAGGCACTTGAACTATTTTTAATGGGAATCAGGTTATACAATTTATATGAGAAATTATTTTTTGAATGTGAAATGAATATTTTCAATTACTATTATATTTTTTAATCTATAACTCCACAAATCTCATGATGAATTTATTACTAAATTATTAAAACTCGTTCGCCGGGTTTCCCTTCTCGTTTTTGTGTTTTTTTTCAGTTAGCGTCTACAGGTTTTGTTGCTTAGTTTGATCACCACTGTAAAGTAATGTATATTTGTAATACATTATTTAGATATTAAAATTAGACCATTTTTATCTACTTTACTGTGCACCACTTGCAACTTATTTCGTAAAAACTGAATTTAAAAACTAATGTATTACGTAATTGAAGGTATGCACATGTTTAGAGTGTTTTAAGCGATATGAATTTATATAGCATGAAAAAAAATGTTTTGTTTGGCGTTCTAATGAACTAAAAATTTTCACTTTGCATGAATTATCCTTATTATTATTATGTCTTATTGAAAAATATAAGGTGTTATCAATACCTTAACGCTTGCGTTTATCGAACTCTGAACACCTATAAAAGTGTTTATATGAAGTCATAGCTCTTGGTGAGGAGCTGTATGTTGTGCCACGTTGACAACTGTGTGCTTTCACTAGAGTCTCTTCGGTGGGCAAGTTTTTTTTTGTTTTGCTTTGTTTATTGTAGTAACAAACATATAAATGTCAAAACAAAACCATGAAACACTTTTTCAATCATATATTAAAGATAATAGCTTCTAGCAAAGATGACACATAAAGCTCTCTACCAAGAGTTACGACGCTACTTCAGAAACATCTATATCGATGTCTTTGATAGGCAACTGGACATGAAGAGGATTGACTGTGATTTTATGTAGGGCTGCGACGAGTTTGATATTTCGAAGTCGATTAATCGTTTTAATAAAATTGAATCGGATCGGATAACCGTTGGCCATTTTAATTCCATCATTAGAAACCATGACGAATATATATAGAGACAATGTTAAACTAACAAGTAGAGACAACGTAAGAAGTAGAGACAACGTAAGAAGTAGAGGCAATGTAAGAAGTAGAGACAACGTAAGAAGTAGAGGCAATGTAAGCAGTAGAGACAACGTAAGAAGTAGAGACAATGTAAGAAGTAGAAACAACGTAAGAAGTAGAGACACCGTAAGAAGTAGAGACACCGTTAGAAGTAGAGACAACGTAAGAAGTAGAGGCAATGTAAGAAGTAGAAATAACGTAAGAAGTAGAGACACCGTAAGAAGTAGAGACAACGTAAGAAGTAGAGGCAATGTAAGAAGTAGAGACACCGTAAGAAGTAGAGACAATGTAAGAAGTAGAGACAACGTAAGAAGTAGAGACAACGTAAGAAATAGAGGCAATGTAAGAAGTAGAGACAACGTAAGAAGTAGAGGCAATGTAAGAAGTAGAGACAACGTAAAATATAGAGACAACGTAAGAAGTAGAGGCAATGTAAGAAGCAAAGACAATGTAAGAAGTAGAGACAACGTAAGAAATAGAGACAATGTAAGAAGTAGAGACAACGTAAGAAGTAGAGACAACGTAAAAAGTAGAAACAACGTAAGAAGTAGAGGCAATGTAAAAAATAGAGACAACGTAAAAAGTAGAAACAACGTAAGAAGTAGAGGCAATGTAAGAAATAGAGACACCGTAAAAAGTAGAGGCAACGTAAGAAGTAGAGACAACGTAAGAAGTAGAGACAACGTAAGAAGTACAGGCAATGTAAGAAGTAGAGACAACGTAAAAAGTAGAGACACCGTAAGAAGTAGAGACAATGTAAGAAGTAGAGACAACGTAAGAAGTAGAGGCAATGTAAGAAGCAAAGACAATGTAAGAAGTAGAGACACCTTAAGAAGTAGAGACAACGTAAGAAGTAGAGACAACGTAAGAAGTAGAGACAACGTAAGAAGTAGAGACAACGTAAGAAGTAGAGGCAACGTAAAAAGTAGAGACACCGTAAGAAGTAGAGACAATGTAAGAAGTAGAGACAACGTAAGAAGTAGAGAAAACGTAAGAAGTAGAGACAATGTAAAAAGTAGAGACACTGTAAGAAGTAGAGACAATGTAAGAAGTAGAGACAACGTAAGAAGTAGAGAAAACGTAAGAAGTAGAGACAATGTAAAAAGTAGAGACACTGTAAGAAGTAGAGACAATGTAAGAAGTAGAGACAACGTAAGAAGTAGAGACAACGTAAGAAGTAGAGGCAATGTAAGAAGTAGAGACACCGTAAGAAGTGGAGACTATGTAAGAAGTAGAGACAACGTAAGAAGTAGAGACAACGTAAGAAATAGAGACAATGTAAGAAGTAGAGACAACGTAAGAAGTAGAGACAACGTAAAAAGTAGAAACAACGTAAGAAGTAGAGGCAATGTAAGAAATAGAGACACCGTAAGAAGTAGAGACACCGTAAGAAGTAGAGACAACGTAAGAAGTAGAGGCAATGTAAGAAGTAAAGACAATGCAGTGAATACATTGTATTCAATTTGTATAGTATTGCGTGAACGACTGTTAGAAATGCAATCCATCGTGTTTCTCACACTTGTCGTGGCACGTCAGAATCACCCTAATTGCTCTATATAAATGGACATTTAATGATTTAAATGTTTGGTTGTATGTTCAAGGATAAACTGTTGCATCCAAACAAAATCATTATTTGTATTTCTGAGTAGAAACGATTACCATGACCAGGTGGTTAGGGCGCTCGACTCGCAATCTGCGGGTCGCGGGTTCGAATTCCCGTCTCACCAAACATGCTCGCCCTTTCAGCCGTGGTGGCTTTATAATGTGACGGTCAACCCCACTATTAGTTGGTAAAATAGTAGCCCAAAAGTTGGCGGTGGGTGGTGATGACTAGCTGCCTTCCCTCTAGTCCTTACACTGCTAAATTAGGGACAGCTGGCACAGATTGCCCTCGTGTAGCTTTGTGCGAAATTCATAACAAATGAAGCAGTTGTCACAGCCCTAATTTTATGAAGTCCTAATATATATTATTAAGTATTCTACATATGTGAAATAGTTTGAAATATTATTTGCACATTTCTAGACTGCTGTTCGCTATGCACAGTTTGTTTCTTTAGAATTTTAGCGCAAAGCTGTACTAGGACTATAAACGCTTAACCATCTCTAATTCTGAGTGGATGAAATGGAGAAAAATAGCTGTTCAACAGCACCCACCGCCAACTCTTCAACTAGTTGTTGTAGACCGTTTTTGTCACCACTTTGTTATGATTGTGCTATTCTCGGTCTTCGCTTTCCTTTCAACTTCATTGAGGCTGTACTTATTTCTATCCGGAATAATTGACTCGTATCAATTTAAACACAACAGGTTTATTTTTATTAATATAATCAATAACTTATAAGAAGTTAGGCTCACTCCGAACACCATTTTGACATATTGTTTCTTCCTAAGAACATTTTCTTCTCCTAATTCGTTGTGTCCAAGTAGTTTGGTCTCGTCAAAAAACTTTTTGCATCGAAAAAAAAAACCACTTCGATTGATTAGCAATCAATAATTGATGTTTAGCCTCAAAATGACGCCATTAAAACAGGCATTCTTAGACACTACAAACACTGAGAAGTAACTATATATTATCTCACTTCCATATGTTGTGGTATACAGATACTGAAATACAACCGAAGTGTCAAAGTATCTGGAAACATTGAAATACTTTCACGTGAATATAGATGACTTGAATTTTCGTACGAGTGAATGTGCCTGTAAATGAATTAGCTGACTGTGTGACTGATCGAAACTAACGATTCATTACAATGAAAATGTTGCCCATGTTTAATCATGTTATACCCATTTTATGTTAAGTATGTTATGTAACTAAGTTTTAATACTGAATCATGCCAAAAGTCTCGCGCGATTGGAAGACCTCAATTTTCAAAAATTATTTATTCTAGCTTTAAAAAGTGAATCAATAAGTCAACAGTATTTAAAATGAAAGTTGTAAAATGTTATGCCCGTGGAAGAATGGAGTTTAATTACCATGTATGTTGAATGTGTATAAATTACTTTTTTTTTGTATTTCACTCTGATCTCCGCTGTATCTGGAATGTATAATGCTCATTATCCAGATTAGGTGAATGTTTTCGTTGAAAATGAACAAAACAGAAATTTTACCTTTTCAAAGTAAATTGTTATTGAGACGTTATTTGTGAAAATGGGTAAAATTAAGGAAGCTGGTAATGAAAGACTAGGAAATATTGTTCACATACGGAACAACTACGACTTGCGTCTTTCCCGTTATGATAATTTCGTTTAATGAGAAAGATTAGAAACTCATTCATTGGTTGTGATTATAAATACTTTCCGCTTGGGGTAAAGTTATAAATATTTAGTAAAATTTATGTTCTAATTTTAAAAGAGAAAGGATTGAAAACTTAATTTAATTGTAAATTTATTATCATATACTGTCGAACGACTACTCAAACCAGAAGAACAGTCTATTTTAGCTTTAGTTATGATACATTTTCTATAAATAAAGTTACTCCTGATTAATGATCATTGTTTCTTTTATACAAATGTTAACATATATTCCATATTCAGTAACAAATAAGTCAAGATTTCTGGTAAAACTTTATTCAAACCTTAATATGATCATTGCAAAGGATTTAAAAAAAAACGTTGACCACTTCTTCTATGATTACAAAGCGGATATTGTAAGATAAAAAAAAATTACCAACATTTTACAGCCGTTCCTCCATTTCGTGAAGCCATAGATCTGGACTAGATTGAGGCTCAAGACAATTTTGCTCAGTGCCCGGACAAGTAGTTTCAGGGGTTAATACCGCAGAAGTTAATACTTGGGGGTAATATTCATGAAGCTTCTGTCCGTCTATCTTCTTCTGAAAATATGGAATCGGTGATTTGACGTAAGCCAGACTTTTCAATACATTTTCGAGCCCATTGTCTGATTGAGCTTCTCCATGACTTGGCTCCCCTGGGACAATATGAGTCTGATCCGTGGCATTACACAACTCCATCTTTCTTGCGTCTGATTGAGCTTCTCCATGACTTGGCTCCCCTGGGACAATATGAGTCTGATCCGTGGCATAACACAACTCCATCTTTCTTGCGTCTGATTGAGCTTCTCCATGACTTGGCTCCCCTGGGACAATATGAGTCTGATCCGTGGCATTACACAACTCCATCTTTCTTGCTTCAGGGGATCTGCTATGACTTACTTCTGTCGATTCGTTAAACGATTTCATAATGGCATGACCCGAACGACTTGCTCCGTGATCTAGCTCGTCGAATATGTTCTCATAGGGGTGAGTTTCACTGTGACTTGATTTTAGTGGTCTACTATAAATTTGACCCATCACGCCTGTTCCGGTGTAAGACTCACATGGACCGGGATTCGAATCTTGCTTCTGGTCAAACAATGGGAAGAAAGATGACTCAAACAGGTCTGTCTTCAAGCTGTCATTTCGATCACCTGGATGATAGAAAGTTAGCATGATTACTTGCTGTGAAAGTAACAACTTATTATTTTTACACAAAGAATACAATTAAAATCAGTAACTGACGACTGGTATATTGAAGGCAAATTAGAAGACTGACATAACAGCGGTTAGGTCTACTTTCAGCATAAATGAACTTTGAACTCTTGGAGTCAGAGAGGGATTGAGAAGTGAGTGCGATATAGATGGTGTCATCGATTGAAAAACAAGTAAAACATGATGATAAAGATGGTGTAATTGATGGGAAAACATGTATAACATAATGATAAAGCTGGTACCATAGATGGGAGAACATGTATAATATGATGATAAAGCTGGTGCCATAGATTAGAAAACATGTATAATATGATGATAAAGATGGTGCCATAGATTGGAAAACATGTATAATATGATGATAAAGCTGGTGCCATAGATTAGAAAACATGTATAATATGATGATAAAGCTGGTGCCATAGATTAGAAAACATGTATAATATGATGATAAAGATGGTGCCATAGATTGGAAAACATGTATAATATGATGATAAAGATGGTGTCATAGATTGGAAAACATGTAAAATATGATGATAAAGATGGTGTCATAGATTGGAAAACATGTATAATACGATTATAAAGATTGTGTCATTGACGGAAAAATATTTATAATATGATTATAAAGATGGTGTCATAGATGGGAAAATATGTATAATATGATGATAAAGATGGTGTAATTGATTGGAAAACATGTATAATATGATGATAAAGATGGTGTCATAGATGGGAAAACGTGTATAATATGATGATAAAGATGGTGTCATCGATGGGAAAACATGATGAAAAAGATGGTGTTATGGTGGGAAAAAATATATAATATAATGATTGAGATGGTGCCATCGATAGGAAAACATATAAAACATGATGAAAAAGACTGTTCAGAAACCCTAACATTCACATTCAATATCTAATACGAATAGTTTTGTTGCATTTCGATGACTAAATAAACGAAATTAAAGCATTTTTATGTGATTTTTACAGAAACGCTATATATATATAAGATTTATGGGTTCTACTTTTGAATCATATTGTAGGATATTATGAAACTTTTATTGAATGATTCTTAAGATATTGTTTCTGTATTTAGGACTTTTTTTAAACATATAGAATGTGGTACAATTTGTAAAATACAATACATTATGCTGTATGAAAATAGAATTAGAACTATCATTACTATTACCATCATTTTTTTTCTCTCTCTTAGCCTTCCGTATCCGTATAGCGAGTAACAATTACGCCAAGCCTTGTGAAAATTGTAATTAGCGAAGTTATATTCCCACGGGACGGCTACATCGCTAGGCGCCATACTTTGTTGCTACACACATTGGGCCTCCTATTGACCACAACACTGCCTGTTTGATAGACAGTTGTTAGGACACTGCTTAGTCGTTGTCTTATTAGATATCTCATTTAAAAAAATAGCTTAATTACAGCAACCCAGACAGAACAATAGGTTCTATACTGTGTCTGGATATGCTGATACATTGTCAACAATGATGACAACTTAGTCACAAATGTAACGAATCTGGTAATTGCTTCTAACGGCCGGGGAAATAATGAGTAAAAAAAAAAAAAAATACTCCACTATTTTCTACCCTCAAATTATTCTAGTTTGCTTAAATCGTTTATGGGTTTGAAACTTAAGAAAATAATGGGGTATAAAACTGGTGAAGCCAACGTGTCGTGCTTCTTCTCTGTGTAGGTTGCTTGCTCAATATTAATCTCAAAATCTAGTCAATCCTCATACCGGCCATTTTATTTATCCCTTTCTCTGCATGTGGGCCTACCATGTGTTAGTAATACCATACAACATTAGTTTGTAGTACTGTAAAGAAGACAGTTGTATTTCTAAAACAAATGTGTTATACTTTAGTTTTATAATATGTAAATAAATAACAACAACATCGTGTATATAAGATAAAACTAGCAAAAGATTATGAAGCTTGTAGAAAATATATGAATTCCCTGGCATGTGTATATACCCTGGGCTTCGTCTATTTATTTATTTTTTTCCCTGGAAACGGTTTATCTTATTGTTAGTTAACCTATGAGAAGTTTCGGGACTTATCGAAAATAAATAAAAAAAACATTAACTGTGTGTAGATAATCACCAGACTTATTTTAAGAGTTTAAATTGCTAATACACTTAATACAGTGCGTTGTAAGGATATAATGTATTCTTGATCATTTTATTCTATATATGAAGTGTGTTAACAATATTTTTTGTTATATATATACACTGCAACTTTAAGTGGTGCAAGATTTCTTATTCAGGTTTTGAAAAATGGAAAATATAAGCACTTTAATGCATTATTCCCTTTCTGTGCAAACAATCCGGATACATATTGATTGTTTTGCTTTAGTTACAATATCTTTAAATAGCTGTAGATTATGAAAACTATAACCTGTAACGTAGAACCAAAGAAACAAAAAATAAAACACAACGCACGGGCAAGTTGCTAGACAACAGGTGGTAAACTGGACGACACAGTTATTAATGTGCAAGCTTAAGATAAAGAGAAAGCATAGTTACAGTGATTTCTTTAAGGAAAATAAATATCATTTAAGTACAAAGCTGTACAATATATTTATCTTCACTGCGCCTACCGTGGGAATTGAACCTCGATTTTATGCGTTATAAGTCCTTAAGTTTACTCCTGAGCCACCAGGAGGCGGAAAAATACGCGTGACTTGGGCATACAGGCCTGTAAGTCAGTTGAAGGAAACTTGTTTAGTTAATAGATTTGTCTGTAACTGCTAAATTAAACCTCCTACTTACCAAACAAATTCGGGGTCAGCGAATAAGGTAACGATGAACAGATTATTAAAAAGCCTGCCTTTATATGACAACTATTCCTGAGAATAAAACACTTCATTACTAATGCCTTTTTCTGAAGGTTGTATCTAATCATAAAATCAACAGAAAACCGAAAGATGATTCAGGACTAATATTTTCATTGTATTTATACAAACTTAAGCCTATAGAACGTGAACATAATAATAATTAATAATATTTGGTTTTCAAACGAATAAGAAATATATATAAAAAAATCCTTATCCAAATTCTAATACGTTTTGACATAAACAAAATCAATGAAAACTACATTTCACTAACTTAATCCAGTTCATACCATAGCGGTTGCTGTCAATCAGTTTGCTAATATAAGCATCATTCCACACAGCTATGGTATTAGGTAAAAAATCATTGTTAGCACTGTATGTGGCAGACATAGTTTGACTGTGATATCATTACGGACTATTCCTTAATTTAACTCAGAGGTTCTTATTAACATTGACTACGTGACTAAAATCTAACGAAGAAAAAAGTTATTTCTTCGGTTGCATATTATAATTGCTGAGAAATATCCAAAGATGCTCTTAGATTGTCTTTTGATTTAGATTTTTTTTCAGGCTTCTGGTATGCGATATACAAAGAGGCCAGAGAGTAATGAAGGGACTTATATTACAATGAATGGTTGTCTTAGAAGGTTTGTTTGTTTTGAAATTTCGCGCAAAGCTACACAAGGGCTATTTGCGCTAGCCGTCCCTAATTTAGCTACTCTTTGGAGTGTAAGACTAGGGGGAAGGCAGCTAGCTGTCACCACCTATCGCCAACTCTTGGGCTACTCTTTTACCAACGAATAGTGGGATTGACCGTCAGATTATAACGCCCCCTCGGCTGAAAGGGCG